GAGATCTGAAAGGATTTGTAGGGCGCCTGAGAGGCTATACCTATTGTTAGAGAACAATGAAGAGGGACTTCTTTTGGATAATGATCCAATAAGCTATGATGAGGCAATGTCGGACATTGACTTAGATAAATGGCAAGAAGCTATGCAATCCGAGATAGATTCCATGTATTCAAACAAAGTATGGACTTTGGTTGAACCACCACAGGGTATTGTACCCATAGGTTGTAAATGGGTTTGTTATAATCCGACTCGGCAAAACACCATTAAGAGGTTTCAAGCATCATGTTAAGAGAAATTAACAATTGACCCAATGTGACCCTCAACCACATCGGTCCACGCAGTGAACCGGCCTGAACTACCGAAGACCGAAGTGATCAATACCTACCGAGGTCCACCTTAACCGAGGTCATCACCTCCTTAAGCAGGTGACGAGGCGCCTACACACTCCCATCACACTCTACGAGATTCGTCATCATTCATGTGGGGACCACTGCTCCAAACCGCCCACCAAAAGTTACTTTATACAAAAAGTAATACACAAATTCCAATGTATCCATCAAAAAAGTTGCTATAAATAGCAACCCAATGACATTTGTACGGGGATCCCGAATTCATAAAACATGCAACACGTAAAAGCCCATCACGGCTCTTCACCTCGGTTCACCTCGGACCGGGGCCATTGTTGAGTTATTTCTACATGCTTTACGTCCAAACCGTTCATAATTATCATCTTAATCACTTGTTACATCGTTGTTAGAAATCACATAACAACAGTTTGGCGCTAGAAGGAGGGCCTCATAAGTGATTTGAGGTCAATCTCCGCTTTTCCAAGTGACGATTCACACCAGCCATATCCACCATGTCTCACTCAGATCATCGTGGTCACACCTCACGAGACGGCCACAGTCGCAGCGCCGCGCAATCTGCCAGACGACAAGCCGTGGCCCCACCTGTACCGGATTATGCTGTTCTGTTTCAAAATCTGGAGTTTGCGCGTGGTTTTGCCGCTCTAATGGCCCAAACGTTTCCGGGAACATCAACGACTGCTCCGGGACACTCCATCATTCCCACGACTCCCGCAAACCGGCAGAATCCACCGGCGCGACAAGACGGCGGAAGGACAACATCTCATGCTATATCTCAACCTCGTGATCGAATGTCGCAACCGCCTACGGAACAAAATACGCGTCGCACTGACGCCGGGCGCAATCCTCCTATACTTCCTCAAGAAGAAACTGCCGAAAGCCAGTCGAGTCATTCACGACGATCACCGCCTCATGCACAGCACCGAAATCCCTCCAACCCAGCGCAGACCGACCTTCGACAGCATATTGAACGAAATCGGGCTCGTCAAGAGCCATCCGAACTCGAAACACTGCGACGAAGAATAGCCGAATTGGAAAGTCGGCAACGGGCACCTGAAGATCCACCTCGGCGGGCCTCCACCTCGGCGCAAGTGTATTTGGAAGCCGATTCTCCCCTTACTCCGGAGCTCACTTCGGAACCAGTACCTGGAAAAGTCAAAGTCCCCCAGATCGGGCTATATGATGGAACATCTGACCCTGAATCACACCTCGGTCATTATACTTCTTGGATGGATCTGCATGGGGCCTCAGACGCACTTCAGTGTCGTATGTTTTCGCTTACACTGGGGCCTCGGGCCCAAAAATGGTACCATTCTCTTCCTCCTCACTCAATTTGGAAGTGGCAACAACTGAGGTCAGCTTTCCGATCTCATTTCATCGGGGCTCAAGTATGCCTTATCCCAAAAGAATCTCTTGCGAATGTCACTCAAAAAGATGATGAAAGTGTCAAGGACTATATTGCCCGGTTCAATGACCGAGTTCAGAACATGGAACCTTGTCATCCGGAAACCTTGCTTGTTATGGCTATTGCTGGATTGAAACCGAATTCGATTTTCCGCTGGACACTGTGCCAAAATAAACCGAACACTTTTCAAGAATTTCTCGCTCGAGCCCAGCAGCACATCATAGCGGAAGAAGCCATGTCGGTTCCCGATTTTAACTTTAACCCGAAGTCTTCTAAAGCGGGAACCGACGAAAAACGAAAGAATAAATTTTTCGACAAGCAAAGTAAGACTCAATTCAGGGGACCTCCCCGAGGAGACCCCAATGATCCTGAAGTTCGAGCAGCCCGAAAACAGTATGCTACCGACGTGAAGTCCGGTTACCAAACCGTATATTCCGCTGGAGCAGCCACCATGTATGAAGAGATCAAAGGGAAAGGTATTTTACCAGAACCCAAACCACTTCGGATGCCCGAAGAAAAACTGGACAAGTCCCGGTATTGTGATTATCATAAGTCGCCAGGGCACAACACGGACGAATGCTTAAGTTTGTTAGCCGCGTTATTGCGTTTGATTGGCCATCCGCAGCTCAGAAAATTTTACCGTAATACTGATCCCCAGAGACGAGGTCCGGGACGCCAGATCGAACCCTTTGATGAAGACGATGAGGAGGACCGAGGTGCCATGCCAAAGCGCATCCGACAAGGAGACAAGGAAGTATTTATGTTCACCTCGGAAACATCCGATTCTAACTCCGCTGAAACCTCCCGAGGGCGTACACGAGGTCGGTCTCCTGAACCGATGCAAATCACAGTCCACCGCGTCAACACCAATAACTCCCGGAGTACATTATCCCGTCGACAGATCAAGGCTTATGCCCGACAAGCCTGCAACTCCGGCAAACAGGTCTACACTACCGATTTGAGAGATATTCTCAACAATCGGAACTGTCCCATAACCTTTAATATGGAAGATGCTAATCACTTCGCACACCCTCATTCCGATGCGCTTGTTATCACCGTCCCTATATGCGGAATTCCAGTTCATCGCGTCATGGTGGATACTGGGGCCTATTCGAGCATTTTGATGTTAAAGGCTTTTGACAAAATGGGCCTTGATCCCGCCGAAATCTGACCTTGCAACGATCAAATACAAGGGTTCAACGGCAGTATTTCAAAGCCTATCGGCGAGATCACTTTACCTGTCAGATTCGGCACTTCGGAGAATGTCACCAAACTCGTCATGGAAACTTTCAAGGTTATGGATATTAATAATGAGTACAACGCCATCATCGGCAGAACGGCCTTGTATAAACTTCGAGCTGCAGTTTCGATCTTCCATTATGCGTTAAAGTTCCCAACTACCCGAGGAGAGGGAACCCACTTCGGAGATCAAAGAGAAGCCCGAGAACTTGTTACGTTTATCCCATCCAATGGAATCCACTCAACTGCGAAGGGCAATAATGAAGATTTCCCACCACAGCACACTTCGGACGATGTAGTGTCCGAGGAACCGAATCATAACGACGTTGCTCTCCCCACCTCGGATCCTTTAATCGAAGACCGAGGTCGCCGGCCTGGGAAGGAGCCACTACTTGAAGAAGACGAGTTGGACCCCATAGCCTTGTTCAAAGAAAAAAGCCGAAGTGATCGAGCCGAACCTGGAGAAGACGTAGAATTGATCTATATCGATGAACCAGTGTTCCACAAATCATTTCGTATTGGAAGTCATCTTCAAGAACCACTTCGGTCAGAACTTATCTCATTTCTCAAACACAATTCTGATGTTTTCGCTTGGAAACACGAGGATATGAAGGGCATCGACCCCGGTGTCGCTAGCCACAAGTTGAACCACGATCGAACCATCCGGCCTGTTGTGCAAAAGAGGAGGAAACTGGGGCCGGATCGTCAGAAGGCGTTGGAAGAAGAAGTCAAAAAACTCATTGACAACAAGTTCATCAAGGAAGCCAAATACCCGACGTGGGTCTCAAATCCCGTCCTTGTTAAAAAAAGCAATGGGCTATGGAGACTGTGTATCGATTTTTCCGACCTGAACAAGGCGTGCCCGAAGGACAGCTATCCGCTTCCCCACATAGATTATATGGTTGATGCAACGTCGGGACATGAGTTGATGAGTTTCATGGATGCTTACTCGGGCTATAATCAGATTCCTATGGATCCTGAAGATTCTGAGCACACCTCATTCTATTCGGCCCGAGGCTTGTACTGTTATACTATGATGCCGTTTGGATCAAAGAACGCCGGAGCCACATATCAGCGCCTTGTCAACAAAATGTTTGCTACACTGATCGGTCACACCATGGAAGTTTATGTTGATGACATGCTTGTCAAGTCGTTGCACGCCTCCGATCATATAACGCATCTTCAAGACATGTTCGCCATCCTCCGATCTTACTCCATGGTCTTAAATCCTAAGAAATGTACTTTTGGAGTTGAATCTGGAAAATTTCTGGGCTATATGGTCAGCCAGCGCGGAATTGAAGCCAATCCGGCCAAAATAAAGGCTATTCAAGATCTAACTCCTCCGACCTCGGTTAAGGGTGTTCAGGCCCTAAACGGCCGACTTGCTGCACTCAACCGGTTCATTTCCAAGTCTACGGATCGTTGCAGACCCTTTGTAATATCCCGACTTTTATCAGTATTAATAATATTTTGGTTCCGATATTACTTTTCGGAATTAATTATTTTCAGTTATTTCAGTCGAAATTACCGGAACTATTTTCGACGTACCGTTTACGTTCGAAATAATTTTGGTAGTTAAGCATTATGTTTAATTGAATAATTAAACATAATTAAGTGATTAATTTAACTTAATCACGAGATTAGTAATTGTTCGGATTTTATTCCGAGTTCATGTGCTTCGACGTGAGTTTATGTTAATGCTCGGCCCATAGTTCATGCGGGTGCCGTGCGCGCGTGT